TTACAACCCGTCATGGGGGTCCAAGCCTGCCGTTTGAAATGCTTCATCCTGCAGCCAACAGGCACCCCAAGGCTACACATCAATGGCTTCTTATGGGCGTCCAAGCCTGCCGTTTGCCAGCCCTTAAACCCTTAAAACCCTTAAAAACCCTCAAAAGGCTTAAAACCCTTACAACCCGTCATGGGGGTCCAAGCCTGCCGTTTGCCATGCTTCATCCTGCAGCCAACAGGCACCCCAAGGCCACACATCAATGGCTTCTTAGAAGTTGACAGCGGCTTGAAAAAGGGCACGCGGTTGCGACAAATATATCCCGCGCAGGAGACGCAGAAGCAGAGAAATCATCATCAGACATGCAAGGACGTTGCCGTTTGCCATGCTTCATCCTGCAGCCAACAGGCACCCCAAGGCCACACACATCAATGGCTGCTTATGGGCGTCCAAGCCTGCCGTTTGCCAGCCCTTAAACGCTTAAAACCCTTAAAAACCCTCAAAAGGCTTAAAACCCTTACAACCCGTCATGGGGGTCCAAGCCTGCCGTTTGCCATGCTTCATCCTGCAGCCAACAGGCACCCCAAGGCCACACATCAATGGCTTCTTATGGGCGTCCAAGCCTGCCGTTTGCCAGCCCTTAAACCCTTAAAACCCTTAAAAACCCTCAAAAGGCTTAAAACCCTTACAACCCGTCATGGGGGTCCAAGCCTGCCGTTTGCCATGCTTCATCCTGCAGCCAGCAGGCACCCCAAGGCCACACATCAATGGCTTCTTATGGGCGTCCAAGCCTGCCGTTTGCCAGCCCTTAAACCCTTAAAAACCCTCAAACGGCTTAAAACCCTTACAACCCGTCATGGGGGTCCAAGCCTGCCGTTTGCCATGCTTCATCCTGCAGCCAACAGGCACCCCAAGGCCACACATCAATGGCTTCTTATGGGCGTCCAAGCCTGCCGTTTGCCAGCCCTTAAACGCTTAAAACCCTTAAAAACCCTCAAAACCCTTAAAAACCCTTACAACCCGTCATGGGGGTCCAAGCCTGCCGTTTGCCATGCTTCATCCTGCAGCCAACAGGCACCCCAAGGCCACACATCAATGGCTTCTTATGGGCGTCCAAGCCTGCCGTTTGCCAGCCCTTAAACGCTTAAAACCCTTAAAAACCCTCAAAAGGCTTAAAACCCTTACAACCCGTCATGGGGGTCCAAGCCTGCCGTTTGCCATGCTTCATCCTGCAGCCAACAGGCACCCCAAGGCCACACATCAATGGCTTCTTATGGGCGTCCAAGCCTGCCGTTTGCCAGCCCTTAAACGCTTAAAACCCTTAAAAACCCTCATTTCCGTGTCTGTTTATTGAATGTTGTTTTGATGCATACTTTTGGTGCGCCTTTTCCTTGCGAAGACTACGTCTTACGCAAGGGAGGCAAGACACACCATCCCCAAAATATGAAAACAACATTCCATGAACAGCCACGGAAATCCCTGATATCAATACATTCGATTCATTGTCCCACAATCTATGTTTACGCTACCTAGACCTTCAAAAACTCTATAACATTTGCACGTTTGGACTACTGCACATGTGGGCCGTTTTGACCTTTCCCCGCCGCTCCGCCCTGAAAAGGGGGTCGGCGGCACCAGGGCGTTAGCCCATTTATAATACGGAAATGGTGGAAAATTGGTGTTTGTAGGTGTTTACAGAAAGCGGCTCCACAGGCCGACAACTGCCAACCTACTGTAAGGTATCCTCAGTAAAACTGCGCCTTGAATGACCAGGTGGTCCACTGTAGAAAAACTTCATTGGGGTTCAACCATCCAAAGTGAAAATATCCCACAACTATCAGATTGATCCAGCCTTATTCCCTCTAGCAGTGACTCTGCAGGGATGCTGTGTGTCATCGCAGCCTTTCAAATCTTTCAATGTCCAGACAGAGGGAACAGTGTCAATTGCAGTACTAATTGCAGTTTGATTGCAAAGGCAAACATCTACTCCCGTCTAAGTTGTTGTCGGGTCCATCTGACAAGCCAGGCGCTCCAGTCAAGAAAGTCAAATGTTGAGAAACTGCAATTCGTCCTAAAAGTGCAAACTGATCGAGTCGAACGGCTCTACATGATTAAAAGATCATTGGCATGTCGAAAGTAGAGAATGAAATAGGTATGGTCAGATAGTTGGCTCTCGTCCTGATAATCTCGAGCCCCGCAGTTTCAAAGCATAGCAGCAACGGATGTGGCCTTTATCCGGAGACTGGAGCCTGTCGAACGTATGACCTGCGTCAAACATCATCAACCCATGACTTGTCAGTGCACAAGCCTTGTGCTCTGCCCCTTTGCGTAGATTCAGAGTCTAAAACCACGCAAAAAACAAATCACTCCATTCAACTGCGATATGCACACATGCCCGCTCCAGTGCCAAATGTGCCAAGCCTCCTCCGCGAACAATCGGCACACTTCTGATAGATGCACGCGCCCGGAGACAAACTGCAACACAAATTGCCAGCAATCCTCCAACGGCTCCGACAGGGAAGACTTGATATATTTTTTGAACTGGAAAGTGAAACGAAGCATAAGAAATCAAACCATACCAAACGTATAAACGCGGATTGTTGTGTTCTGTGAAGCAGCGTCACAATAAAAAGTGCACTTGACACTTGATGTGTTGGTAGTATACTGAAGAAGACCAAGATCGGATAAAGGATGACCGTGGATGACCCAAATGAAAAAGTCTGACACAAGGACCAGTCCCACATAGTCCCACTATGGCACACGGGGAAAGTCCTGGCGGAGTTCTACCTTTGGCGAAGACAAAGCTTCTGGAGCCTGCCAAAGGAGGAGTTGAAATGTCTGCTTCGTGTGCTTTGTTCGCATTCTGTGTATTTTGATCATTCTTTTACGCAATCCTCAAACTTGGGTCATGGACAAGAGAGTTCTCCTGTCGAAGTCTGTAAATCATTTCATAACAACCATCCATCAACAAAGCGAACCGAATCAATACATCAATACAAGGTTCATCAAGGCTCCTGTAAGACTTTCGGCGACATGCTGTGCCTTTTGTGTATCATTTTGGACCACCTTCAGCTGTGTGGGCTCCTTGCGACACTGCTAACCTGGGGGGGTGCGATCAGTTGCTTTGCAACTCCATCATGACAGGTATGAACTTGATTACACATGGTGACCAATTCCTGTATGTACTCCATTCATGCACAATTGGGGTTGCACCTGCAGGAACAAAATGGAATGTCCTCTAAGACAGGACTGTCGGTACAAATATATGTTTGAAATTACTCTGAGGCAGCTTCAAGAATAAAATTGCAGCTAGATCGCGTGTCAGTAGCCTACTTTGAAACCGCAAACACTAAGGCTTTGCTGGAAGGATTGGAAGGGTCCTTCGTTCGCGCCAGCTTTCGTGGGGTTGCCACTGGTCGTGCCGACAAAATCTTCAGAATTTCCTGCAATTGCCCAGCTTGTGCATCTGTGAGCATTAGCTGCATGTTCTCCTTGTTCTCCTTTGTCCTGATCAGCAGCCTGTCCAAAGCACAGAGTCCAAAGCAGCACAGGGCGAAGCAGACTAAGCGAAGCCAACAAGTGCATTGAATCTAGCAAACAAATCTGTAACAAGGTATCGTAAGAATCGGTTGAACATTAAAACCATACAGAAACATAAAAGTACAGCTATAAAACTACATCTTGGCCCACCTACAGTAATCAGTAATCTAGATTTAATTATATATTTGATATTATTTTGAAGCGAGCATTTGTAGTGGGGTGTTCTTGTCATCTTTGCCTTTAATTTCCCCCCGGCTTCGCTATGTTAGGGATTTTCTCCAACAAACAAATCAAACAACTGGATATGCACAAACCAGAATGCAACAAATTACAATAAATCAAACCACAATGGAAACCGAACCTGTAAGTCAAAGTAAAAAAAACAGGCAAGGTCGCTGTTGGGTCATGTCCGGGACCCTCTCAAGTAAATCATATCAAAACTCTGGGATGGTTGCTATCTTTTTTGCCTTTGGGTATGCGGTCTGTAGCACGTTCAGGCACGACTCCAGCAAAAGCGCTTAGTGTAGAAGGCAAAATGAATGCAAGCCAACACAAACACACACATACACACGGAACAGCTGAACACAAAATGGGAACCAAATGAAATATCAATAAAACATAATAAAACACGTTTTGCTGCGTGTGGCTCACAAGCTCTAAACCATTCTAAACCTAAACATGGGATCCGCGCGTGTTCACTCCGCAACTTTCCTGGTTCTCCTCGCCTTCCCTCTGAGATCTTCGTGGTCATGGCGCTGTGGAAAGTGCGATTGGTCAATCGGATCGTGCGCATGAAGCCCAGGACTTGCACCACAACGCCGGTGGAGAGCCGCACTGCACGCAGCCCAAACTCTTTGCTGCGCTTGTCCCTTGGCAGGGGCTTGCCTCAAAGTCGCATCATGTCACATCATGTCACTTCCAATTCTCATTCAAATTGTGTCATTTGTGTCATCTGCAGAAATCAAAAAAACTGGGGCAGGTGAGGCACCATCAACCTGAACTGCAACTGAGCAGTGGCAGCGCAAGACTTCCTCTACGGCGGCCATTGCCGGCTTTGAGAAGCTCTGCCCAAGCACTCTGACTGCATAGAAAGACCCTTTGGTACAGCAAAAACATACTATAGCAGACTTATTCATACTTATTTCACATTTATGATTTGGATAAGTGTCTTTCTTCCCATCTGCCGCATTCTTTCCAGCAACTCAATGCTTTCGGTTGTCATGGTCCATGGCTTGAAGTTGGCTAAAGTTTGAATCCAAAGACTGTGCAATGCAGTGAGGCTAAATGCACAGTAAATGCACTAGTTTTGCTCTATCGAAAGCCCCTAAGCTCCAACGAGCACTCCTAGAAGCAACTATGTCTGTAACTCTACCTGGCAACCAGTGACCTCGATGCACAATTGTCATCCACAAAATCAAGCAATCTTTGATCCATGATGGAGAAGAAGCCAATCTTCGATGCAGTTTCCAGGCCTTCTTGGCCCTGTGGCAAGACACCCCTCAAGGTGACAGTGATCTCTTGGTCGTGCCTCAAAGCGGCGTGGCGTCGTAAGCCACCGAAAGCTTCCTGAAATCTGCTCTCTAGATCTCTCTAGTGTTGAAAATCTCGCAATCTACTTTCAGTATTGCTACAAAACATCACAACAGAAGAACCTCGGATTTCACAATGCGATGTGTGATCCATCCAGGGCAGAACAGTCCATGGCTCTGATATACCCTGATGCTCGCACCTAGACACGCGTAGCTCAGGGGTGTCTGCTTCCTGACCAGCTGCTGGTACTTCATGCTCACAAACAAGTTCCTTGGAAATCGTCGATAGAGAGCAATTCTGAAAAATTATCGTTGTCAGTCAGGATCCACTAGAGTATCAACTTAGTATTCTATAGTGTTTGGCTCCGCACCAAGGAACTTGCAGCACATCGAAACTCAAGTTTTGACATGTTTGATCTGAATCTGTCTGCTGCCTGTGCCAAACCCTCAGCCGAGGAACAAATCCTGTTCTCATGCAAAGGTGTCGTGGCAAAGGCGGCGTGTGGTCGAAAATCCAAGCGCAGTCAAACATCGGCCTCGAGTCTCAAAAATCTCAAAACGTCTTATCCAACTCACACTGGGAAGATCTGGGAAGATCTGGGAAGATCTGGGAAGATCTGGGAAGTATAGAGTTCCACCGAAACCCCGCCTAGTGATCCTAGTGTTAGCTGAGTGTTACAGTATCTTTGCAATTCTTTGCGCTACTATTTTACCCGGGGATTTCAAGGTTCTGCCTGGACCATGTCTTGTGGAGAGCCTAGTCTTCCTTTGGTCCAGTTCCGTCAAAGGTTATCATACATTCTACACATTCGCACCTTTGATATCCTTTAATCGTGGCTCGACTGAGAATCATCAGAAATATTTGCCATGCAAGACACATTTGTTTGCTGTACAATGTCTTGTGCAAATGGATTGTGCAACTTGCTCCTTACCCTGCAGAATGTGCTCTTGCAAGGAGAATTAGTTTGCCCAGTCTTCTTCTCTGTGTCATTGAAACTTTAAGCAAGCTCTACAGCATTCTACAGTCACATTTCAGCATGAAAAAGAAGTGCTATCTGACAAGACTTCTGCCAGTATCCATCATTGCCACCCCTTGAGCTTCGACATCATTGGTCAACAATAACATACAAGACTTTCCCAGTGCAACAAAGACCGAGATTGTAGCCCCGGAGGAAGTCCGCACCAGCTGCGAATCCTTGGTGTGACAGAATCTGTTGAGAGACGCCCACAGCGACCTCTGAATAACACAAGAAACTCATCGCAGGCAATGCTCAGCTCTGTTTTGTCGAGCGAATGCGGAAGCTGCTTGGAAATCAATGATCCATGAAGTTGTGAAACATGGCTTCGTTCTGATGTGAGACTGTCGAATTGGAACGAGTCTGCTTCTGCAACAAGCTCTGTGTCGCACATTGCACATTCCATCGCAGCATGCTTGGCCGTATCAATATGAATTTCATAATATTGGAAATCAGACATCACCCTCTGCAACATTCTGCTGGGCGGTGAGACGTGGAAAGCAACTCAAGACATAATACAGTCGTCTTTCACACGGCCATGTGTGGGTGCCAGGGACTGCAAATGCTTGTACTTTGTCTTCTCCGGATGCAGAGCACCCCAAATATCTTCTCTGATGTTGTAATTGGGGTTGGCGTCCACGAAGAGCAACGAGGAATTCTGCTCTGGTTTGTAGCATGCCAATCTCACTGTTTCCTTGTCTTTCTCCGTCAGATTTGTCATTGGAACGTAAACTGGTGGATCTGGGCACCACGTCATGTCCGGCGGACCTGTAATCTCATTTGCATCCTTGCAAACAACAGGCCTAATCATTGACTGCCCCTTTCCGACGTCATCCTTCACGTACATGCGCAGCATCTCAAGATTGAGCATTTGATCTGCAGGCGATTTAGCTGCAGGCAAGTACTTGGCCACGTCTCGCGCCTTACTCTCATGTTTGCTCACCAGCACATATTAGTGCGGCAAATTTCTGGACGATGAAAGTAAAATGTCAAAATGAAAGCCCGGCTTTCACATAGGGGTAAAAGAGACTTAAACAATAAAAAACCGTTGTCCAATCAAAGCTGGTTGCAATATTGGAGCTATGTTGATAGCCACGTGCAACTTGTGGTCCCAAGTCCTCGGACATCACCAAGGGATTTGGCCCCATGCTCTCGAAAAGTGCATCAAGGTTGTCCCACTCGCGCCAGCCATTGTTTACTCGCATGCCAGGAAAGTCATGCGGACTGTTTGAATCCTCTTTCTTGCATCGTTGAAGTAGTGCTCTATTCCTTGCCAAGTGGTAGATGAGGTTAAGCCCGGGTAAGGCAAAGAAAAGAACACCCTCAAGTCATCTGCGCTGTGAACCTTTGCAATACAGAAAAGGTATTGGTTGCCTGCGTGGAACCATTGGAACCAATATAAGCTTCAGGGCGTCTCTTGCATTGACCCCAAAATTCAACCCTATTGTCCTCACGCAGCAGCACAACCGGTCCCGCAATGACATGCCCACCTTTGCTTCTTCGTTGTCTGAATGCAAAAATTAGGTGCAATCAAAGTTTCTGTGCCTCCGCATTGATCACAGCTTGCTCAATAGCCTAGCAGGATCTGAAAGGAGCCAGGCTAGAAAGGCGCCAGAAATAAGCTGCCGATTTGGCTACCCTAGACTTGAAGGGAGTAGTCAAAGCAGTCAGTCGACTAGCTGGTCGCAGGGTCTTCTTTCCGAGCAAGTCTGTGATCCCACGTTACTTCTGACTATGGACTGCATTGCAGGGAGACCTCGCTGCTTGTTATGACTTAAGGGATCACCACTTGTATGTCGTTGCTGGATTTGCTATTGGAAAGTACACCATCTTTTTGAGAATAAAGAAAAAGAAAGGGGTATGAAGACGCATGCAAAGGGTTCTACATGATCTTTAGGTGTCCGAACAAGCACTGCAACATGACCCTCTGGTTCCTTTACTTGCAGCGTCTGCATATCTTTGTACAACTATAACTGACGCTGAGGTTTGTCATGCAAAATCCTGGTTCTACGTTGGACCATCTGGCGACAAAGACAGTGAAGGCTTCCTGACTCCTTCACAAGCTGAACTACAGTAGATGGACAAAATATTCAAACCCTGCAACACGCACTATGTTGAACCCCCGCACCCCAAAATCTCAATGTTTCAGCGCGTGCGTTACCAAAAGTGATGTTAGGGGTTTGATTTCACTTTCGTCCATTGGGGCTAGTGCACTTCAGGTTACATTGACATTGAACTTTGGGGGCGATGGGGTTGTAGCAGATAGAAGGGGTTTGAATATTTCGTCCATCTACGGTAGTACGCTGAGTTGCACAAATCCAGAGTGGCAAAATAATACCAACATGCCGAAAAACATCCAAGTCTTGTAGTCCAGATTCCCTGCATTGAAGTATCTTGTTCTGTCAGAAAAGTCCGACGCAATACAGGATAAGAAATAAACAAAAAAAGAGAGAATCGCAGACTTTTACCTTTTCCTTCACCAGAAATTAACGGTCCTTCTTACTGCATCCATATTGTGTCCGGTGAATGGGAGTCCTCCGGCGAAACTACCCGGTTTCTGTTTCTATCATAGAGTCCACGGGTGTGAAGAGCAATAATCAAGATGACTTTCAAGTGAATCAAATACAATGTATTGAAATGATAATCTATATTAAACTATGTGTATAATATCATTGAATACATCGCTATATCACCATCATGTTTACACGTTATACAGTTATACATAATCACATACATGTTATATTCCATGTTATATATATATATCACTCCTGCATGACATCAAGATGTTTAACCCACCTCCTCCGCAGATCCAGGCGCGAAGTTTCCTGTGCGTCCTGAGACGCGGCGCTCCAGCTCCACAGGTGCTGTGATCTGCGGCAAGGCCACGCGGCCGGACTTCATGGTGCCATCAGCAACCTGGGTTGGAATGGAACAGAAAAACTACAAACGAAGAATATCACAGTATCTTGACCTGACATTGCCATGTTGGATGAGAATTCTATCATGGTGATATGTGCAGAATGAAACATTCGGATATTCGGGTCTATGTCTGCAATTCCATGAATTCAACCTGCATGAATGTCCGGAAGAGGAAGGGGAGGGAGAGGGAGAGAGAGAGAGAGAGAGAGAGAGAGAGCGAGAGCGAGAGCGAGAGCGAGAGCGAGAGCGAGAGGGAGGGAGGGAGGGAGGGAGGGAGGGAGGGAGGGAGAAAAACATCAAGCGATTACCTATGCATGTTACATTCCGATTTGGAGTTGGACTGTTGACTGTTCACTGAGGAGTTCTTGGAGAATGCCTGCAGTCAGGCCTCATTGAACCAACGCGGATCCTGCAGGATCCATCATGATTAGCATGATCTATCCATAGCTATCCACTCCACATCCAATCGAAGTTTCCCAGTCAAGGGGCTGCCTCGGCCTCCGTGACCAAGCGATATGACAAATAGATACCACCCAGCAAGCGTCGGTTGTCAGGATTCCACAGTTTGATGTATTCCTGCAGAAAGCTCAAAAGAATAGAAGTTAGGAGATGTTAGGAGCATAAATTATAGTCTATAGATATATAGTCTATATATATATAGTCCATAATTACTATAGCGGAATCTAAATGACACTGTATCATCAACATGTCATCAGGAAAACTTGAGTGTCGCGTGTAAAGGACTGATCACATGTGCGCACCACTTTGTTGCACATTGAGATTCACGCATCCAACAAACCGCTCTAGAAATCCGACCGTCTGACTTCCAGGAAGAATGGACATTCCAACATTCCAAGACAGTTAGAAGCATCCAGAACGCTGTTGCAATTCCGTATTTTTCCGCATGCTTCTTCAAAATAATTTCTTAAAAAAAAAAAGATTTTGGTATACTGGATACTGTCCTGCAAATTTCTCCAGCAGTAACAATAATATGACTTCAAGATGACCCCTGCACGATTGTCCGGTCTCCTTCTCCTCTTTCCAGGAGACTTTGATGGGATCTGTGACCCCAATGATTTCGGTGCTGGTCGCGTTTCCGGACCTCACAGCGGAATGTCCTGTTGCACTGTCTGCACACCATATCACACCATGTTCTAGGTATTTCTAGGTTATGTAAGACTGTAAGACACTACCACTGCCATCCACTGCCTACCTTCCCAGTAGCTGGAGAAACTACGTGCGATTTGCATGGAACTACAGTACTCTTCCTGAACTGGCCTAGAATCTTAGAGATGCTTGGAGTCTCTTAAAGTCACCTGTCTGTGCAGTTTCACCCATGGACATGACTGGACTTGGGATTGGATCTGTACAAATTACTCTGCGCTTTCATTGACATCCTGGTGTTCTGTTGAGCTTAAGAAGCTTGAATGTTCTTATCTTGTCAATTCTTGGAATATCTTATTGATCTTAATCTAATTGGTCAGATAGTCATTCCACACTGAGCCCCTTCAGTGTGTTTCTGGCCTTTTTCCATATGAAATGGCAATCTTGATGTACTGCGCGCCATCCTGAGCGTCTCCACCTAGGACAGGCTGCTTTTAGGATCTGGTCACAAGGTGATGAATACAGCAGAAATAGGGTCATATCATGTCATAAGTCATATCCCAACTCTTAGGGGTATTACCATAGCATATTATACCCATAAAACTAACCTCGTAAAGCTATTCCGGTATCCCACCTGTTTGCAATGTGTTGCAATCAAAAATCTGTACATGATCAATGAAGAGCTATGACCGGCACACAAAAAGACCAAGAAAAAACTGGTGCGGTCCCAAGTACCCCAGTACATCCGATCCCGCACAAAAGCGCGTGTCTCCTTGAAGTCAACCGAGGCCAGCTGGTTTCCACTCCTTTCAATCACAGGATCACCATTGATCGCCATTCATGATTTATCACCATGCTGGATGCGAGGCGACTTTCATGTGCAAATATAATCAAATATATAAACACCATGCCAAGACAAATTGGTGGGTCAAAAAAATGCCTGCGCTGTATTGTTATGTCTTGTCGCTTTACACTTGATAAACCCCTGCACCACCTTGCGACGGCCACGTCACATCAGATTTGCTGAAAAGTCTCGGAACATCAGACTGGAAAAGTCCAATCTTTCTCAGCTCTTTGCCTGGACAAATCAGGACTCCAAATCTGATCGACAGCAGGAACATAAATGTGGCAATCCATATGGCTATCAATTCCATTGCGTTGGATGCAGAAAGGCCGCAATATCTACTGCATAATTATCAATATATATAATTATCTACAGTATAGCTATGCTGAGTGTCTACCTTTCCTGCATGTGTGCATATCAACTAATCATTGTGTATAACATTGTATAACTACTTGTTGATACTTGTTGCAACCAGCAGGCCGCTCTCGGACGACATGATAGTCAGCACAACGTCTTTCATCTCCTAAATGCAGCCGAGCTTTCAACATGAACATCAGTGGTCCGTGGGTATTGCAAGAAAAATGTCCTTTTGTACTCTGTCTTCGTTTCATGCCCCATGTTGTCATCCCACAAAGTTATCTTTGTCAATCACAGCCGCCGTGAAGACAGTTGGATGCGCTTGACAAGTCTCCGGGGTTCTGGGTGCTGGAAGATCTTTAGCAGAATGTAGCAGGAGCTCACAGCTAAGATTGTGTTGAACATCCTCGACATCTTTGTCCGACATCACCCTCAGCGGGAGAGAGAAAAAGAGAGAGAGAGAGCGAGAAAGTGTGAGTGCGAGTGCGCGATCGAGGGGGTGCGATTGAACCAGGAGGTTAAAGAGCCATACCAGAGCACAAATTATCTTCATTGAAGTTTGATACCCATGGAAGGGATTAATTCCTCTGAACTCTTGTTTTTACTTCTTTTCCTCATGATGCTCTGTCTCTGAAGATTTCTAGCAGCTAGCATTTGACCTTTCATGCTGGTCCGCAACACGCAACTGTCATAGCATGCTATAGGCTTCTTCGCAACTAAAAACTACTAAAAACATCTAAAGCTCCTGGACGCTCCAGATGCTCTTAAATTCTGCTGAGGATCTGATGAAGTTGCATCATCCCCATGCCTGAGCTGTAGAGCATGGGTGAAGACACCTCAGAAGATCACTCTTCGCCGAAGGGCCCCGAAGGGGCCCGAAGGGCTGATGTCAGATTTGACACACTCTGCTTGGAAATTCTCGGAACGTATACCAAAGACAAGCCTTGATGTTCATCTATTGTACAATCATTTGTTGCATTTCTTTCCAAGCGAGTATCTTTTTACCCTTCAGTTTCATCACTATAGTGATCGCTTGGACAAGCCATGTGAGAGGGGAGTAGCAAGAAAAAAACCACCTGTGACAGCGTCGTCCTAGAGATGGTGAGGCCACAGGATCAGTTCCATCAAGTCCCTGTTATCCAAGGGGCCAAAGGCTCATCTTCGACAACACACAGTTCAATGCCACAAACGACCTTGTTGTCGCTGGTGACCTACAAGGAGTCGTGATTTGCATTGATTCGCACGATTTCTGACTCTGCAAACGCGGAAATGGGATAAAGATGGGATAAAGATGGGATAAAGGCATGCAGCAATACAGAAGAACGCCATATTGATGTTCTTGATAATGAATATGATTAATTAATTAAGTATTGTAATGTATTGTAGTGCATAGAGACTGAGGGATTAACATGTTTTGTCATACCCTGCAGCCTGCACTGATAGATATGATAGATTACCACCTTAGAATACCTTACATAGACAATTTCCCACCAAGCGATTTTATTGACCTCCAAATACGTATCTTTCAAAGACTGCTGCAAGGTGAGCCCGTTCAGCCCGTTCCTTTTCATCCTTTTCATATTCCCTACGGCCCTGCCTCATATGGCCATGGCTTGCTGGACCGGAAGTCAAGGCGGTTGATTTGGCATGTGCCAATGGTTGCGCCCATCAAGCCAGTGAATTCAACCTGCATGGCCAATTCGTCTGCAAGCTGGGTGTGTCTAAGAAATGGGGTACATATACCGCTGTACCCCTGAAATGGCCACCTTTATATGGAACATGATGATTGACCAGCTCACTTTAGTCCTAAGGTGGGAAGAACTTCGATACAACAGTCTCACCAGGTCGGTCAAAACCACAATGTTACCCAAGCACAGCAGAAACTTTACATGATTGACACAAGGACGGAGTCGAAAATGTTGGTTTCTGCTGAATTGGTGCAAAGTGTGCTGGAAACGGATTCTAGTGCCATGGCTAAAGAAGCAAGCACATTCTCTATCAAAACTGTGGAGACGTGAACGAAGGAGAACTAGAATAGCTAGAAGAATGCAAATGAAAGAAGTCCGAGAGGACCGGGAGGACCGGGACGTCCGGCCTGAACCTGGATTGTCTTCGACAATGTCTTGGCATGGAGTGTGCCCAGCTCTTCCGGGATGGAAAATGTCTGAGTGGTCAAGCCGTGCAATTGAGAATCCTCAAGACCCTGAATCTCTTCACTGCGTACAAGCTCTTTCCTCTTGTGATCCATCACACGAAGTTGATAGGTCTTAGCATCCTTCACAAACATGCCACTCTCAACGGGCACATCGAGAAGCTTGGAGACTACCACTGTGCAATGCACACCGAGGTCGCTATCAACTGGAGGAGGGCCCTGTGGGGGGCCATCCTGGCTGATCATGGCTCCCATAGGTCCCATCATAGGTCCACGTGGCATGCTCTGCTGAGCAAATCCTGCACTTCCCTGTGAATGAAATGAACTGAATGGGCCACCCTGGTGGGCAGATTGCGGTATCTGAGGCCCTTGTGAATTCATCCGCGGCACGCCTGGGGCAGGTTCATCTATGAGAGTTCGGAAGCTGGTCTGATTGTGTGAAGCTTGGGAATTCTGCGACGCAAAAGGACCCAGCGCAGTGTTAAAGCTGCTGTTGTGGGTGGCAAAAGGCCCTGAAGGTCCTGCAGTTGGTGGAAGGACAGGAGCAGGACCCCGGTTTGAAGCACTAGCATCACCCGAAAAGCCAAGGCTGTTCGAATGGATCACCGTTTTGAAGGGCGAGTCACTCCTTCCTGACATGTGCATGATTGCTTGAAGCCTTGTTTGGCCAAGCGAATGCTTCTACCAATTGGACAAAGTGACAAGTTGCCACTGAGCCAAATTCCGGCAACGCAGAAACAATGTTTGACGTGTTCGATTACCACGAATGCATGCTCACTCACTTGAGATGCGACTTAGACTACATTTTGAACCTGGACAAAAGCATGACAAAGATTGACAAAGCACAAATGAATCAGAGGGCAGAAGCTCTTACATCGTAACATCACCGCTCTCGTATGAACTGCCTGTCCAATTCAATTTCTCCAGCTGCTCTGCAACACTGTGATAGTGATTCCTATGGACCACGCTCTGTCAGAGATGGACATGGCCACATTGACGCATGTGCTATGAGGCAGCGTTGAACCTGACACATGCAGCTAATTTCAGTCCAGTGGCAAACAAAGGAATGAGTCGCACTTTGATGGAACGTAAGTACTGTATAAATTAAATACGAATTGTTTTAACTTTTACGTCCAGGAACGACATCGTGATCAGGGTCAAGAAGGGCTCCCTTTTTTGAAAGGTCAATAGTTCTGCCAAGCAATTCATAGAGTCAAGGCGAATGAACAGCCTCAATGCCACTCCCCCCGGCAGGCCTCCGTGGAAAAGGAGTGCAAACTTTGCCATGAGTCTGTGACCCGCAAGCGCAGTGGCACCAACGAAGCAGTGCAGCTGGCATTGGAAATTCAATGGTTTCGCCATAGAATTCAACGCTGTGGCCAGCCACCATCGCTGCTGTGTTCATTCTACTTGGATTTTGATACTGATACAGTAGCAGCTGTTGCTGGTCCAGAGGGACCTACCTACATTTGCAGCATTTGAAGTCATCAAAGTGCGCGTGGATTCCAGGCTCTGACTTGGCCGGCTCTTGGCCCACTGACAAGCCATCTCCCCATCTCGACTCTCCGTTTCAAACAAGTGAGGGAGGCCCGAGCAAGTCGCTTGGAACTGCCTAGCAAGCTGTTGTAGTGGCGAAACCACACAAGTCAAAGCCAAGAAATTTAGTCCAGTCAGTCAGTCAGTCAGTCCGTCCGTCAGTCAGTCAGTCTGCCCTGTCAATTCTTCAAAGCTCAGCATTCTGACAGTGATCGAGCACAGAGACTTTGGTTTATATCAAAGCGAACTTGACAAGAAAAGCTTCTGCGAGGGGCCAATGTGACTTCGGATTTGTTTGACCTAGAGCCAAATAAGTTTGAACTCTAAACCAATGACTCAGGTGTCACTAGCCCACCTGCCAGGTGGAAATCTGAGCAGCATAGAAAAGGGAAGCAACGGCCTCCCGTCCAGAAAGCACTGCTCCAAGGAGAAAGTCCTTGCTACCCGTCGCCCGCGACCAAACCTGGCGACAGGCCTTGTTGGATGTGGCCTTGAATCACTTTGTTATCTTTGTTGAACTATGAATTCAGCTCGGAAATTCAGCAAATGGCTGCCAGACAATTCTACGAACCTGACATGGATAAATTCAGTTGTCGTTTTGGGGGTGTTGCTAAAGTCACTAATTAAAGTGTTTCAAGTGCAGATTTTTCATAGAGGCTCCTGCTGAGACGATCGCTTACTGCAGGGAGGTTGGCCTTTTGCTAACATGCCGCCAACACTATGCGGAATATGCAGTAATGTAGATGATTTGGAACATGCCTGCGGTCTACTTCCTCGTTGACAAACCAAAGCATACACAAGTTCTGCAAAGTTGGGATACTCAAGAGATAGGCATATCATGGCGTATCAATATCAATGGACTTGCCAGCAGAGCCAAAGACCAAGCGTCTAGCACCAATGCCTGAAGGGTCAATCACTCAGGGTTGTTCGACCACACAACGTCGGTTGATGGTGGCAAGTGACTCTGACAGAACGACTCAGTCACATGAATCGAAAAATGTGAAATCATGCCCTCGACTGTAGAAGAAGCGGTCAGAAGAACAAGCATCTGGTTGAGCGATTTGGAGGCAAGGCATTTGCGAGCTTGGGCACAAATCTCAATGCTTGTTCCGACCCCAAATCCCCAAGATTCCAAGATCTTTAAAACGAATCATTTGAATTAGTCAAAATGACTATATAATTTAAATGAGCAGAATGTACACGACCCAACTGACTAATGTACCAAACTACTTGTCAGACCAATAGAAACAGATTCTTTTGATAGACAGACCTGCTAGACTTCGGCTGAGTTTCTTACAGCAGGTGTCAACTGCCAAGCCTTCCATGGTGGATTGCAGGAGATTGCGCTGTCAATGAGCAAAGTTGCATCAAGAATTTGAGCGTTGCCGCGTTGCCAGTAAGTTGGACACTAGTTCAGGTCAATGTGAGCCTTCACTTATTACGTGATGCGAGAGTCATGGACCCTGAGAGCTGCTTGTCACATCTTCAACAGATTAAAAATATCCAGACACGGTGAAACAAAGTGACCTTGGCACGTTGACGCAAAGCTTCCCACCGGACTGCCAGCCTTTCACAGAAAGAACGTGTCAAACTTAAAAGCAAAACATCATTCTTTTGGTCACTGTCAAACTTGCATGGATCTTTTGGTCACTGACTCCTGATGAAGACTTCACTAAAAAACAAACACTATCATCCGACAGTTGCCTTCGGAGGTTAAAGGAGTGAAGGTGCACTTGTCGCTGCAAAGCAGTAGGCCTTAGAAGCTCGCAGCAACATGCCCAAAATTCAGACAAACCGAATGGATCAGGCAATGGCAAAAAGCTTTGAGAAGAAATTCAAAATGAACATACGTAGTGCAACACTGTTTCAAAGATGCGCCTGAACCCCTCAAGCGTTCGGCGCCACCAAGAAGGGCGGTCAACCTCACGAGCTCTGTTTCCGACCAATTTATAGATGCTTGAACTACGCACCCAGCAACTGCAATCATTCAGCGTCTCAAGATAAATAAAACATAATAAAACTGTCTTCAAGTCTTCTGTCTTTAAAGAACTACTTTGAGACGTAAAGGGAAAAGTTCTAGCGGACCGCTATCGACACCTCTATGTTGGCCCTTTTTGGCGTAAGATGTTGAATAATTTATCGTCTGCTCTCAACCCATTCTATACGCTGGATACCATAGGGTGTCTGAAAATCGAAGTGATTGTATCCACATCTGGTCCACGCAATCAGATTGAAATCATGTGCACGACACTCTTCCTTTAGCATCTTTGAACACAGTCTGTTTGGGCTCCTCCAAGTGAATGTTGTCCAGTGCTTGTCCAGGACGTTGCAAAGGCGCCTGAAAACTGCAATCAAACGAATCAACTCTGGACCGAGATTAAACCCCAAAGGATCAGCGAGATGTTGGGCACTGCAATGTCCGATGATAGACCACGTGATCTTAGTTAAAGCCTGCCAAAACCTCACCATCATGTTTGGTCAACTGGCTCTAGATAAAGAGAGTGAAGTGCTTCTCTGCTTCCATGCTGCATGGACACCGAGCATGGCACAGCAATTCCAACTGCTAGCGACAGAAGGTCCTATAAGAATCGACATCCACAAGGCAAGTGCAGATTGAAGCTTCGAAAGATCAATGATACAGGATGATACAGGACTATAGAAGGTATTTACCAGATTTTACCATGATTTTACAGGTCACAACGGCGCCGTATCTCCTGCAGCAACAGATTTGTAGACCAGCCATCAGAAACGGAGTTGTGACTGGGCAAAAAACAGGGTGCGTGCTGGGCGGACAAGTCCCAAGTCTCATGCCGTGCAGGTTTCAAATCTGGGTTTGGCAAACAGAAAAATCCTCAAAATCTTTTTCCCTATAGTAAAAATGTCTAAGACTTGAGGATAAAAATACTAAGCTGCTGCACTATGGAACCTATTGCGCACACAGAGCTAGAAAAAGAGCAGTTTTGCCTCTGCTACTTGATTCTGTTGTTACCGAAATCAACCACACCTCAAAGCCTTTATGTGATCAATCTATAAGCCAAGGGGCATCGACAACAGCAGGGCCAACTTGTCGGAACTTCCAGCCTGCATCCGAAGACAAAGGAAGGTTGTCAGAAGCAAAGTTGGTCATGCCGTGAGCACAAGAAAAGATGATCCGGATGGATGAAGCTAAGAAGCCAGTCAGGTAGATTCTCGTGTTTACTTGTATATCAAAGTCCTTTATATTTATTATATATATATATATTATATACATATATACGCATGAATTACATACAGTATACAAGTAACTTCTCGTCTTGGGTGTCTCATTTGTCTCACTCTCAGGAGTCAAACTCTCGGTAGATTCGTCCCAAGTTGGTCGAATGCGCCTCCTTTTGCTCCAGATATCCCCCTTCATTCTACATTTTGAGATGCTTTGCGCAATGTGCCTGTTCAGTGCTCTCACAGACACTGTCATGAGGGTTGATGTTCATTTGTAAGTTTCTAATCTGGCATCTCCCCGTTTTCCATTTTTATCGATATTGCACCAAGTTTCTTTTCTTCAAGTCTTTGTCTGACATGTTTCTGCCCAGAGCTGCAACAATGCACCTGAGGGTAGCATTTGAATTCTGATCTGATATTCGTTTGAAGTTACTTTGCTGAGATTGGTGATGTCTTGCCACTTTGTTCGCGATGCGAACGTATTTTCAGGTTCTGCAAACTTGCCCTCCATCGCGAACCCCATTTTCTCGCTTTCCCTGAACGTGCTCTCCGCGCTTGGTCCTTCAGAACTAATTCGCACCGGTGATGCGTATGTAGGACAGGAGTCTTGGTCTGAAAGTGGGGTGTGAGTTGTAAAGAACCCTGAAAGCCTATGGAAGGCAAACTATATGCCCGCGCAAGCCTTGCTACATGTTCTGCCACAAAAATGCAGAAAACAAAGAAAAGTGCAGTACCACTGGTACCACTCAAAAAACAAGTGACAAGACCATCAGATACTTTGGAACTTGTGAAGGCGACCCCAAAGAGCCTACTGTAGCGGTTTTCACTGAGCCAACGAGTTGTCGGTGTTTTTACTGATTCGTCAGACCTGCCCGTTTCAGGACCATCCGAACACATATAACAATACCTTGTACCACATTGTACCACTATATCGTACTGTATCATATTATCATATATTATCAATTCAATTCTCATCATGAATTAATTGAATCCGCCAAATATAGCCGGAAATCCTCTACGAAACATGTCCGCTTCTTGTCTTCTCTGCTCCCCTAAAATCTTCTTCTGTTTCTTCTCGCTACATAAAAGGGTGATCATTCATGATCATTGTTTTCCTCTTCTTCTTCTTCTTCTGCTTTCTTTTCTTCAATCCGTGGTCTAATCGTCTGCCAATCGTTTCTGCTTCTGCGAAGCTAGCGCGAGCTTGTGGTCCCATTCAATTTCTGTAAGAATAAACTTGCCAGACACCAGAATCTATTGTCAGTTTTTGAAGGCTCAGCTGCTTATCTTCCCCATTGGGATATCTTGGGTATCCTCAACCCAACAGCTAACCAAAATTCCTTGGTGTCCCATCCCCACGTTTCACTGCCATCAGCATCAAGAGGATTCAGAGACTTGGCCCTGCTCTCGCCTTTGCCCGCAGCAAATGCAGGCGGCAAAGGGGTCCTAGCAGAAAGACCACTGGCCCTTGGACTTTCGGGACTTTCGTGTCACCTCGAAACATTTAGGCGTGTCTCGTCTTGCCTTAGCACAATATTTGGTGGAATCCACTAGTAGATACTAGATGATACTAGTAGGGTTTTGTTGACTATGCAAAAATGCATTTAACAAACTAAGTATTGCAAAAGTGAAAGAGGGTCCCTGTTTCCAAGCGCCGAATTCAGCATGGAAAATTCATGAACCAAGGTGAACGTCAAGGCCTCACACCCAACTGTCCTGTGCTGTGGAAGTGCTGCTTCAGGTCCTCCTGTGACATGTTTCCAAAAGCAACCCCTTTGATCTGAAAGTCCAAGCCCTTCAGACTTGGATTTGTGCATCGTGCGTGAGAAAGATGATAAGCATTGCGATGGCTTTGGTGACGACAGGAAAGAACTAGCAACTCTGGCCAGTTGAGCACCCGCGGACAAAAGGAGTACCATGTCCAAGCTGTACTATATAACTGTCAGATGGACATGACTCGAAGCAGATACATTTAACATGCAAATACATCGAATCCAGGTACATCCAGATACTATACATCCAGGTTACATGCCAATGCTCCATTGATGGTTTGTTGCCATCACTCCTTCATCAACGCTCGCAGTTGGCGCTTTAGGCCTCGGCGACCAATGCGACCAGCTTCCCGCTGAAATCTTCTGGCTTTGGGAACAGAAAAGTATGATATGAAAAACCAGAAGAAATCGATAGAAATCAAACATCGTTGCTTGCAATTCCTCCAATCCAAGTATATATATACATATAACTCAATAAGAACTAAAACCTAAAACTAGACTCAAAGCATTTCAACGTGAAGGATTGTTTGGGGATTTGGGTTTGCTGCCTGGCTGTGATGCGATGTTATGACAACCAAGATGGCTGCCTTAGGCTTCCACGCTTCCTGATGAGCTTTGGGTCACGCGCAAGTCTTCCTTGGACCTTTGTTGGAACATGTTGCAACGCTGCATGAAGAACCACTTGTGAAGCTCGGACTTTGCCACAAGTGACTTGCTTCCAGCATAGCCAGCCGCACATACACAGTCGCCCACTAGTTAGCAAGCATCTTCTTGCAAAGACTTTTCTGAAGCGAAAACGTACTGCGGATGTTGAAGAAACTTAGCTTCCTCACCAGTTCGTTCGCAGCGCAACTTGAAAGTGCCGACCACGCACCTCTAATTAAAAACGGCCAAAGACCGTACCAGTCCGTCTTCAGTCAGTTCACATTGAGCCACTGAGTGTTCAGAAAACTACAACATACTACAACGTTCCCCTTCAATAAAGTTGGTTTCTAATCAAAATGGCACTGCAAGAGTCAGTTCACCAGGCCCAAGCACCCGTATGAAGCGCGAGCGCAAAGCAGTACAGCGCTGCTGCACAAGCAGCCAAGCATTCCGCAGTCCTTCTACCGCAGCAACATGTCTAGAAGCAGACAGCTGAGAAGAATTTGATGTGTGACTCAAAGCAAACCCACACACCATAGAACTTTACACAAACATACACAAACAACATAAGTGACATGACATGTCTACGAGTTCCTTGTGCTTGTTCACAACACAACATGGTATTCAGGTCCTTGCAAAACTTCTTCTCTTGACCTCAAAATTGTTATCAGTGTGTGTGTGTATGTGATTGTTCCCCAGTCATTGTGGTGTATCGAGAGCTTTGCTATCAGGGAGGGCATATGGACTCAAAATCGACATTTCCAGAACATTCAGTCCTTGGAGAGAAACAGTAGGCCTCATGGAGTTTTGCTGTGCAAGTAACAGATGGACTCTTGCAAAGGTAAGGCCATGACTGTCAGTCAGTACTACACGGCACCTGTTTACCAACAACTGCCCAAAATCCAAATAGTTCCCATGTTCTTGTCTGCCCATGTCTGCCCATGCCAAGGAGAAAAATATACCTGCTCTTTTTCAAATCATTCCAATTCTACAAACCGCTTTGTGGCTTCCGGCCGCAGCAGCGCGCAGCTTTGGAGAGTGCCAGGAGACTCCCTGCCGCGGTCTCGCTGTCGTGTCGATTTCTATCACCGCATCAGACGCATCACCAGCATCACCACACCTCACAGCATCAGCTTCCGAAGCTTCCAGTGCCTCAGGCTGAGATCAAAAAGTGCGCAAACGTAGAAGGATTGCATAGGATTCGAGGTCTTGCAAGGGAAAGAACAGTTGAACAGATGCAGAGAAAAAGAAAAATGAAGTGTGGTCACCTTCACCCTGCAGAATGAACACAACCAAAATCAATGGTGACTGGCGTCGCAAATTCGATTAAAACACCCACACCTTCATAGATGCAAGGGATCTCAACTTGGAACAACAGCGCTGTGGCGTGCTATGGCACTAATATCCAGCAAAATATTGCTATCCATCAGTAAATATTCTTAACATTTCTCAAAGTACTCGCAGAACTCCGATCCCAAATTCAAGCGACGTTGAGCAGCAGCTCTTGGAAAGCCGTGCAAGGCCTTGGTGCCAAGAAAAACCCTGAAAAACAAGGGTTTCTGAGAGTGTTCAATAATGTTCAATATTTATCAATAATCAATATCTGATAGCAGGATATGTCGGGATGGGATTTTGTTGGAGGGCAGTGGCCGACTCGGCGCGACGTCTTTTCTCACAGCTTTGAGAGGTCGAAATCATCGCCTTGGGCGCATCCGAATCATTCAATAGCCACCCGCTCAGCTACAAGCTTTCAAAAATATGACAATATTTGACATATTATATATCTATAATATCATTCATATTCAACATCTATCAAAGATCATTCAAATATCATCAAATATCATTCAATAACTAGCTGCAAAGTTGGCTTCTGCATGTTTCTACCAAGTTGCAAGAAGGCTTCTCACCGTTTGTGCAGAACTTTAGGATCAGCGGCAACCTTCACAGTGTCAGGCCAAGTCTCCCAGTGATTCTGCGCCAACTCAACCACTTCAAATCCTACATCTCAAGTCTGATTGTCCAGTCTCCTCTCACTGTCTTGATCTAGTTTCAACCAAGCTTTAAGCAACCAGTCACAAAACATTGTGCAAGTATGACTTGTTTTTGCTTGAAAGTCTTCCCTGCACCGAGCCTTTACCTTTTTACAAGCCCCTTGAATCTAATCTCCAGCCAAACAGTCGCCGCCCAACTCCCGGGCTAATAGATGCTAAGAGATCCGGTTGATTTCCTCTGGGGCAAGTCCTTGCTGCTAGGACTGCTAGGACGGCCTGATAGATGCGCACTTTATCGCTTCTTGTGAGATTGGACCAGCCTCATCTGATTGAGAGACAAAAAAGAGAATTGGATAGAATTGGTTCATGCAAGACTGTGATGTTCACAATGGACAGTCAAAAGATTGGCCAGGGATGCATGGATTCTGTCTCTGGAAATTAGGGTTCCAAGCCACATATCTGCCGACAGCTGAGCACTGGTTCTTTGCCTTCATCCAATGCATTCACTGGGACCCTTGAGGATATCGTATGATATCGCTGTAATATTAGGTGCCTTGAATTCAGTGACACGGGTAGCTGTGCTTCGGAAAAAAAAGCGGGAGTTGACTGTCCTTGACAGGGAAAATGTCTGCATGGAGTCTTGAATAGTTTGAAAATGGTTTCAAACAACCTCATTCCCGCCCACTGCTCTGAGCCACTGCCTCTAAGGCAGATGAATAGTGCAGAGTCCTGAAGCATCGTGTAGAACCGCCGACGCGGTCGAGATAATTATGTCCGTGTCGGGAGTTGCGCAGGAAGTCAGGAAGTGATTGTGAAAGACAGTTAAATGGTAGTCCGAACAGTCCTCATACATGCTCTGTAATGTTGCCGTTAAAACTTTTGGCATGGTTCCCTTCAAAAGGAACTGCATTCGCCCGCACATGTTCCTTGCTTGCATCGTTGTATTCAGATTTATTATGATTTATTATATAGTGACTATTCGCCAACAACCTCGATAACGACCATCAAGAATTGCTAATCTGCCTGTACCACAGGTGATGGCAAAAAATTGCAAGAACGATGAATCTGAATGCAACCATCTTGAAGAAAGAGGAAATGGATAAGGCCGAATGCCTACAACATTATCAGTTAAGATCCCATCTGACCAGACCATTCCAGACCCATCTGAGGCGCCTTGTGTTCAAAGACATGCACTTGCAAGACATCGCCAGGCCTAACTGACATCCGAATGTTGACCTGAGCAGCCACTCTTGTCTTCGCTGGCACACGCCACCAACTCAAACGAATCATCCATATTTGTTACATATCATCAACATTCTAACATATTCTAACACTCATTTTCAATCTAAATTGGATCACTTCTGTATCTTTTCTTTTGATCGGCTCCCCAAGAGTCCGACATGACATAGTCCGACATAGTCCGACAGTGCGGCATGTGTGTTGCTGTCCCCTGTGGTCTCCGGGCATAAAAGGACATTGCCTCGCCCGGATGGCAAGTTTCCATCATCGATGGGACTCTGGCCTCAATGTCAACGCATGTCAACGCATCCGGACGTCGATGCAAGGCTTTGAACACAATGGTGAGACGGTGATGCTGCCAGGCCTGAAACAGGACGTTGTACATGTCGCAGTCTGCAGATCTCACTCGATATTGTTCCTGCGAGGAAGAGGCTGCGAGGAAGAGATCGATAGAAAGAAGTGTGTTTAGTGGCCACGGAGGATTCAGAGAAACTTCAACACTGGGCACCCTTGCACTTGACATGTCATCAAGCATGGAACGTTCCATCTTCTTGGCAACTGTTGGATTTGTTTTTGTCCAGTTATTCTCACAGTAATTCTCACAAGACTCACCAGGAATTGTCGACCCACTCTGTGAGGTGACCAAGTTGTCGCCAACACGCCGTTTCTGAACTCGTCGGAGCGTGCCTGCTTGTATTTCTCAGGAGTAAAAGGCACTCCGGCTTTCCTCAGCTAAAGCTGTTGCAAAGCCCACGATATTCGAGGATTCAAAGCAGCTGAAAGGAATGGAGGCGATATGATTGGGAGGAACTTAAACAGTACTACTACATATTACACATATTTACACATACTAAAATTATGGTTATATAATACACATATGTTCATACAAGGATATTGCCAGGTTAATGGGGTAAGCTCTGAACACTTGGAACCTTGAGCCTTAAAATGGCACCACACACTTTCACCTCTACAACATCCTCTTAGTACTGCGCACAACGTGAGTTCATACAATTAAAGTTAATTAAAGCGTTTATGTCTAGCGAGCCAGCTCTGATGCTTTCTTATCTTTCTTTAGATGGAGCTTCAACTGAGTTTCTCTGAGATTCTCATAAGCCATGAAGAACCTGAGAGAAGTCGCGGAAAACCTCTTCTTCACAGGATGCGAGAAACCCTTCAAGTCCTGGGGAGTGAGGTTTCTACCCCGGGGACGTAAAGGGTCTGTTGGCAAAAAGCACACTAAGCTAAGTTGCGCAAATACAAGGGAATGAATGGGAATGAAGTGTTGCACTTTTCTCAAGACCCTCAGGTCTATGGTTCTTATAGTTCAGCACTCTACCTGCATGATTCTGGATCTTCCCCAACAATACGAGCTGTAACAAGCCAAACTAGGCAGTTTATGACAGTTCCATGTTGCCCAGGATTCAAATGATTCAATCCCAACAGATCGTTTCCCAATGTTCCCCACATCTTCAATACTTCGCTCACTTCGCTCCTTCGTAAAAGTCCTGTAGGTCGTCTCATCAACACCACCTGAAGAAGTGGACCGAAGGCTTTTTGCGGCACAAAAGACCAAGTCGCCTGGCTCTTGTCACTTGGAAATACACGTATTTGCTAGTTGGCAGTCTCTAGTATAGCCATAGAGGCACTAAAACATGTTGAGTTTCGAAAATTGAGGCTCAGCCACATGGCTCTTCACGGTCTTGAAGTGGACTTTGAAGGAACTAAAGCCGTTCATTCAACAAGCGTCGTCTTGCTGGAAGAGGTACTGTATGCTCCCGTGCTTGAGATTTGGCATAGGTTGAGGCCAAACAGACCTGGCGAAAAACGTGGCGAGCACTGTGCCATGTTGTGCCGTAGCCAAGGCTGTCCCAAAGTCAAAAGCCGGATAGTAAGAATTCAGAATACATGATCAAGACAAGACCTAATGACTCAACGATCCTTTTCGATAGAGGTCTGCTTTCTACCGAGGGTGTTGAGTTTGTTGCTCTGCCAAGAGAGTGGACTGGATTCTTCACCAAGGGCATCGTGCTAATTGTCTGTCTCCAAAGCGATTCTCTGTCCAACACCCTGCCTCTCATGTAGAGACTGCCATCTTCTCTGAACATCTCCGTATCCTCATTCTAATCTGAAATAATTTGCATATATTTGGATCTATCTCTACCTACATCGTCCATCATCGCCGATCTAAACCCAGGGAATCAACTACAGTACACTGATATGAACACAACAATATACAGCAAAAATGTTTGACAAAAATGTTTGACAGTTTACGTTACTCCAAAGCTGCGATCAAGAGTCCCAAGGAAACAGCGGCGCCGCTGGAAACTCAGGGGTGGTGTCTATACGCAGCGTATCAAGCACCCTGATACCTGCGTGTCACGCTGCGTGTCATTGCTGCCATGAATGCTTGCAGTCAGACTAGAAACACAAGCAATGCAAGCCCCAGCAAACAGCCTGGAGCAGAATCCGATGCAAATTGTTGAAAAAACATTCCGAAAGACGCCTCTGCATTGCTGAACCTTTCAAAAAAAAGAGACTGCGCAGCGTGGAGCTTGTGAAATCTTATGAGATGGCCTTTGCCAACGATTTCCACCACAAATTCTGTCGCCAAAATTGCCAAGTTCTTCTCCTGTCCACTTGGTGAATACGTTCTGCACAAAAAAAAAACGAAGAGGACCTGATAATTATTGTTTGATATTATTTGTAGGAGACAGATCCATCATCTATCCTGTTTCTTTGAAAATGGTTCGTTTTCCCCCCGCATTGCAGAACAAATAAAACACACAACAATCATGAACATCCGTACATATCCGTACATGATGAAACCATCATGCTGGGTCTTGCAAACTGTCCAAGACTTAAAAATCTGGGGGATCCACTGACACCGGAAGCTTAAAAAAAGGCCAAACACGCCATGGCATCTCGTCCTTCAGATCTGCCAAGGAGATTCCCTTGGGTCAGCTCAACTCACCAAAGAGGATGACGAATCATGAAGAATCTAGCCACTAATTTAGCCTAGGCTGTTCCTCAAGCCGATGTCCGCCTTGCGTTAGGGCAATGTGCTATCCTAGTTCGCACCTGTTCAGACCACCACCAACCAGCTCTTTAACTGTGCAACCAAAAGGCCATAACCTGCTTCAAGGCCAAACTTCTGATCCGCTCGGCGTAGGCAACCAAAGACTCAATCCGGACCTCGATTGGCTTGATGAATTCTGTGCACTTGACGTCTGCTGCTGCTGCTGAAAGCCGCTGCGTGAGGCCGAAATGCGTTCAGCCACTCACTAGAACTAGCTACGTCACAAGCAGAAAGCTTGCTGGAGATTCTCCTGCTGAGAGATCCGGTCATTGTGATATGTATATATATGAGTTGGAAAACACACCTGCCGTTTCTGGTTCAGCCCCTGACATGGCCATTGGGAGCAGTGTCCTGGACGGATTGAAAGGGAACGAGTGCATGCCATGTCTGCCATGTGGCCAATTCACCAGGTGACCATAGCTGTCCTCACAGTGCACTCGCACTGGCATCGTAAGCCGGTGCCTCTCCTGGGCAAATGTGACTCTCCAGGGCAGTGCGCTGCCATCATGAAATAACCAGGGGGGCCAAAATATCGACTCCAACATGGAACACAAAATCATACACTCTGACCAACTATTTACCAACTATTCCAAATGATGCTCAACTATTGATGCCCGGACCCACAGATTCTGTTTGATTGATACTCGCAAGGCTTGATGAACTGCAACCCGAACACTCAAGTGCGCCTGATTCATGCTGGGTGTTTCAAAGCTCGAAGTGTTGTCCTGCCATCGAAAGAGGAAAACAATTCACCATTTACACCAACCTCATGAAGCCTCATGTCAAATCATAGGTGCAGTACATGAGAACATCAAACAATGCTTCCTCTCAGAGTGCGATCCCTTCTTTGCTTAACACATCGACAATATCCACGTATAGTAGTCGTACAGTAGTCGTATATCCACCTATTAATATGTAAACATGCCGAGCTGGACCTGAGCTGGCGCAGAATAGCCACTGGACACTGCTGGGACCGCAGCCGGCGCGGCCGGCGCGGCAGGGGCGGCAGACGCGGCAGGCGCCGGCTTTGCTGCTGGGGCCTTCTTCTTGGGCTTCAAAAATCCACCACTGCCGATGAAAAGCTCCAACTCCTGGCGGTGGAGTTGGCCTTCTTTTTTCATCTTTCTTCTATTGGATCATATTGGATCAATTTCAGAAAAGAATTTTGAGGTTCCAGAGCAGGGGTCCAAGTTGGTTCAACTCTGCTGCAATCCGTCAACCAAAGCCACAATCTACGGAGACCGTCCTTCGTTGTCCAGGTCTCTGCACCAGCTGGCCAAGGTAAAGATTCTGGGACCACATCGGGGAAGTTGGCCTCTCAATAGGAGGGTTACGATATGGCTGATGCTGGAGCTGCCAAAGTCAACTGCTCTGCATTTGCTGGGCCACACCATATCATTCAGTTGTCTACATCAAGGCCTACCTAAGCCTACCTAAAGTCACAAGGAAGCAGAAGCACGTTTGACCATCACTGGATTTGCTACTTCAAAAATCCTGAATCCCAAACAGCATCCCAAACATTCTGAGGCATCTACAAGAACTTCCTTTAAGTGTGGATTGTCCATCGGCGAGACACTTTTTCAAGTATTGATCTCCATTGCAGTAACATGCAGTAACCAGTAACAAGCATGCCACTGGCGCACAGCAGTTGGTGTTAAATTCCCACGGTTGAACATGATGCGGAATGCTGGGGGTGGGGTGTGCGATGAAGAAGCGTTCTGCACCTTTAGCTGTCCCCACTGCTCTGGCGGAATATTTGGTCGCCCTTGACTTCATTGGAAAAGATGGATTCAGCTCTAGCTCCCTGAACATGAAGTTGCACTGCATTGTGTTGCTGGTCTATCCTCTGCTCTGCCTACAGCTTCACTCAAGCTGCCAGAAAACGCAAGATCTCCAGCACAAGCAAGTAGAAAGAGCAAACGAACCCGTCTGTCACACATGAGTTTGGTTCCATGTCATCTCATGCAACGGCATCTGACTGGTCGACACAACTAGGAATCATGAACATCCGCAAGACTGCAGTATAAATAGCTTGCATTCAAATCGCGTTTTGAAACTGTCAAAGCCTATGCATCCTGAATTGTCATAGGCTGCATAGGCTGCTGCCAAATCTGTTCCAGCTCACTCTCTGAGGTTCTTGCCATGAACAGTCAACAGCCTTTGCGGTTTGCCGGATATTCTCACTCCCACGAATCTGCAAGAGCTTCCACAGCTATTGTCTAAATATGTCTAAATGCACTGAATGCGTTTTACACCACGTCCGTCAATTCCTGTAGGCACTTTTTTTGATGAACCGTATGTGTCAGATTCCACGGAGAAAGGAACGGTGCCATGCAGTCATAGCTGTATCGTGTTTGAAGATCAGCGAGCAACACTTGCCCGCGCAGCTTGATCAGCTTGATTCAGCTTGTAGAAAGAATAAGAACATAAAAATCAGAGGATATCAGAAGATCGTGTCCACCTGATTGTTGCGAGGTCAGCACACGTGAAGGAAGGCCCAGTTGGAAGGAGATCTCTTCTTGAAGTTCCTCAAATGTCATGGGACCGCAGCAAGGTGAGAGACTTTGGCCTGCAACATGTTCACTGAAATCAAAGTTAAACAGCTCAAATGTTTGGTAAGGGCTGGTAAGGGCTGGTAGAGTAGCATGACACTTCCAGTCAGCGAAGCTGAAGCTTTCAGGGATTTAATTACAGGCCTTATCAGTCTGAGGTTTGTTTTTCCTGGTCAATATATGGAGACATCATTCCTGTCTTGACACAACCTCTTTTCCAAGAGACATCTTTGCTTAGTCCCCTAGACCATCGTAGATTGCCACGCGACACGGGTGAGAAATACAGATTATGTCTAGCTCTCAACAACTTGGTCCATTCGTGTCTCGGTATGAATGCTCTAGGCGGCATGTGCAACATTTTTAGGCATTGTATGCCAAGCCTCAAAATAATGAGAATGCTTTAATTCAGACAATTTCCAAGGGATCCTTGATCTCATGGTGCTTGGCATCAACATAGGTTTGTTTGACTTTCATGTTAACTCTTTGACCATTTGCAATGAGCGAATCAGCCTCAGCTGTCAAAGCGAAGGGCTGCGTTCTTGTGAAAGACCTTTGCATTGTCACGGCAAGGCGAAGCATTTTTCACAGGTTTTCGCTGCAAGGCTCCACTCCATCAATTTGGGTGAATGCTGAATCTGCTGTGACAAAACAGAAATCGTAGACTGCTGAGCCGAGCAGCCCGGATTCAGGTGCGAGTCGAGGTCTCTTTTGCAGGGGCTCCGACTCCTTGCCAAAATTGTGACAGTGGATTCAGTGGTTCAAGCTATGCCCACTACCATCCTCTGCTTGAATCTAGCAGTTCTGGGACAACTCGATAGAAGTCATGTGTCTTTGACATCGGACTGTTGCAAGCTGTTCCTTCCTAATCTTCCTACATTACATTACTAATTTTACATTACAGATCATTACAGTAAGTCCTAATTACGCCGAGACCGCGAGGATCAAGCCTCAAACTAGGCCTTTTCCTCTGAGTTTGCGGCCTCAGCTTGCGCAGCCTCTGCCAAGGTTCTGGCGCTCAGCAGTGCCAAGGCAGAAATCTCCAGCCTTGGCATTGCTGAATTGCCACAACGAGTCACCAGGTTGTCACAGCAAACGCATCATGCCGCATGGTCGACTGTTCCCAGGTTTGGTCACACTGGTAAGAGATGTGTCTTGGTTGTATCTTCTTGATTCTTCTTGCAAGTTCTTGTTCCAAATCGGCAGTACAGTTGCACAGGAAATCCAGGCCGCGCCGCGACTGCATACGATTACAGAACTTGTGGAACTTGCTGCATGACTTGGGTGTCCGCACCCGCGCTGCCGCGCTGCAGCAGCACATCGTAAGGCTGTCACAGAGTCGCCACCGCAGGCGAGAAAGGAGCTTTGCAACGAGCTGCAGGACGTGTTGCCCAAAACCTATTGCCCAAAACGTGTTTGCAAAGTCGTTGAAAGTCGTTTTTGTTGGATTTTCAAAGAACCTGTTCTGCTTCCAAGCAGGTACCTGACAAAGTTATCGAATCAGCAATGATCAGGAAAGGATAGGTAGAGGCAATTTTGGTTCGTTGATGGAAAGCTGCCGCCTCGACCACGCTGGCTAGTAATGCATCTTCTTGCCTGGCGGATTATTGCAAACACTGAAAGGCTGAAAGAGCAAGGCGAAGCAACACACACATCTTAGAAAATTGCAAAGTATACAGTCAGTCAACAAGTGGAACGCTTGGCCTTCCTCTACTTAGGACGTCTACATTCTACATTAGTGTCGCTTTTATTTTTTAACTTTGCATAGGCATGGACTTGTTTAGGCCGGCGCTCAAGGCTCTTTTTGAGCCGCACGTGCATGGGCTGGTGGCGAAAAAGGATTTGGAGCCTCCACGGTCTCTCTACGAATCCTTCATTGACACATTTCATTTTGAGATTTTTTGAGTGCATAGACTTGACACAATGCTTCCGCAAGAGCTTTCGTGCGGCTTCCGCGGAGCCCTAGCTTCTGCGCAGGATTCGATTTGAGTGCGCTTCTGCATGGCTTCGACGCGGGCTCCGCAATGTAGACCCCTTTCTTCTGCGAAATTGTTTTGACCCGACCGCTCTCCACGTTAGCTTCCACAAAGCTTCCACCATGCATATCCCAGCTTCTGAACAAAAAAATACCCAAAAAAAAAAACGTCGCTTGCATGGCATCTACCGCATGCTTTGTCCAGCGAGGTTTGTCCGTCCATACCTGCACATTTGATCCGGACATGGCTTTGAATGCTGTGTATACAGAGGAGTTCTTGCAATGCAATACTGCATTTTTTATATACACATATTATCATATTATGTATGATGTGTATAATTGTGTATATAGCTTGCATACCAGTATCACTGTGTATCTTGAATTGTCTTGATAGATTCCATCCGGCTGTCCCAGGTGTGCACCCCAGCCTCGTGTCCCCCTTCCTTCGTGGTAAAGGTGTTACAGGTGCCGACGCCATTCCCGCCATTCCGCGCAGCTGAGACAACAGGCGAGCCCTATCGACCTCCCACGACCAAGTTTAACGAATGTTGTGAGGTGAGATTTTATGACGTTGGCAAAACAACAAGGAGAGAAAACAACATAAAACAACCATGGTCACTGTGTAGCCTTCTGTGTCTCAGCCTTTCTTGGCAGTGGCTCGGAGAACCTGGCTGCAACCAGATGTGCAAATGGATGCGCATTCTCACCTAATGCATTCGGATTGACATAACGCATCCACGAACAAAAACTAAACCAGGGGTGGGCAGGCTTGCAACACTGGTATATCTTTTGCAATCCTACAACTGCGACTCTTAAAGATATGTCTTGACTGAAAAGCAAAATATGTGGAATCGGGACGTGCTCCAATCGGAATGTGACTTCACAAACAGTGGCTAGGATTGCCAGTGGAGCTGAACTCCTCCTCCAGATGGAAGGATCTCAGCAAGTCTCGCTTCGCAGGCCCCAAACCTGTAAGTTCCCAGTACTTGTATCAGTTGAGAAGACACTTCAATTCCCAGGAGACGCTCAATGCACCCAAGACAGCACCACATTTTTACGTTTCAATGCAAGTAATTTCGAAGCTTGGATGACCAAAACGCTCTCAAACATGTGGGACCCAGTTGAACCCTGTCAAGTGCCAAGCTCTGTAAGCAGCTGCGAAGGAATCTGGATTCGAGCGCTTGTCCAGCACAGCAACAGCCTTGGGAGGTGGGGACCAAAAGCTGTCCGGCTTCCGCTGCCAAATCCAATAAATCTGAGAAATCAGCTGAAACGAACGCGAACATGACAGCTATTAGCTGCTATTGGCTATTGCCCTCACAATGACAAGCAAAGCAGCAAGGAGGACCGTCCAAATCAAACAAAATTCGAACAAATCCCTGGCCATACAACTATCGACTCTCAAGTCAGAAGCGGCTTTTGGAATCCTGCTGTTTTCAAGGCACTTTCGTCCATACTCCAGCGGACAATGGATTGTTCTCACTGAGCGTCTGTCGTGATGTTCGTCTGGGCCACCCGTGATTGTGGCAGCTTCCAGAACTCCCGGCCTGGGCCCACAACCAGGCTGTACAAATATGGCCAAATGTCAGAGCCTCTTCACCTCTTCCCCTCGTCACTAGCAAGCCAGGAAAGATACCCGGATGTTTTTTTGTTTCATTTTGTTTCATCTTCAAACTGGAGTCCGCACAAGTTTGAGAGGCGTCTGCTCAGATCCGAGAGGTCCACCCACCTTGCAGCGTTTCTTTTAAAGTGAACATAAGCGAACCAGACCTACTAGTACTGTACCTTAATCATTCCTTAATGCAAAAGGGGGAAAAAAACTGTGCCAGGCATCGAGTGCTCAGTTCTGCAATTCCTTTGAGGTGCTATTTTGAGTTTCAGGATGTTTCAGGCGTGAAGGTCCGCACTACGCCGTTTACTTCGACAAGACTGTGTTGACTTCTGTACTGCTTCCAGCTTCCAAAATCCTGTTTCCTCCAGGGCAGCTCACTTGCCAAAGACTTTCACCAGCTGGTCTCCACCTGGAAATAGATGGAGAAATAGATGCAGCAAATGCAGGCAGTCCTTTTGCCAATGTGTGAAGCAACTGTGCACCAACATTCCATGTTTCTACCTCGATCATCGAGATACTTCCCTGTCTTCAAATGATTTCACACCTTCCGGTGTCGCTATGGATAAACCAAATACTTGTATACAGTACGTAGGTTGTGGTCAACATTTCCAGGTGAGAAAACGACTGCCCTCAGATACATTTCCCCCATTTCAAAACAGTGGGAAAGTCTCGGCCAAGCAACGTCCACGGAACACAATATCTTGACCGCTCCACTTCGCCAAATCTCCTGAACGGTAGAAGCGTTGGCCTTGCACCATGAGCTGACCCACCAGGGCAGAATCTGCACATGAAAGAGGAATGCATATCACAAAATCATGTAGATAGAATTAGATACATATGCATAGTGACTTTTAACTAAATCGGGACTTCGTGTTTATGTCTGAAACAATCCAAAGTACGTTATCCAGTCATCCGCCGATACTGAACAGTGTTTACATGTTTGCAACATTGATGGATCAACGTTGTGTGTGTGTGTGTGTCATCAATCGTACGTCGCACTACAGTACTTCTTCGCAAAACTTTGGTGCCCATGGTTGTTCTACAGGGGCAGTCATTAAAGCATGCTGTTTCTGCAGTGATTTCTACCGTCGCATGGACAGCCAAACATTTGGCCATGGCAGTTTATAAGAGCAATACGAGAACTATGTAAGGTACAGTACCCCTTCACACTGTATAGCTGCTGTGTTTCCGATGCTTCCAATGCGGGATACCACATTCTTACAGCAAATTGTCAATCACCAAAAAATCAAAGCACACTTTGACCACTCTGGATAACACTACCCCTGATCGATCATGGGTACTTCGTGGCAAATCATACTAGTACAATTGTAATAAAATAGTGATCAAGTCAGTATTAGCTAGATTAAAACTTAGTTGGTGAAAAAAAACATGGAAACTCCATGGCTGATCACTGTTGAATTCGCGGCTTATCAGTTGATAATAGCAATGACCTACAATAACCACAATAACCAGCCACAATGGTTGATAAGCGATTATGGAAGCAGCTGCTGACCAAGAAATCTGTTGGAGCTGCCCACTGTCAGCGCACCATGTTTGATTTCTGTGAGTTCATCACAATGCTCGAACCAAAGGTTAAAAAAAGAGGTACTGAGAAAGCTAGGTTTTTGCCTAGGCGTTTTTTGGTAGTTGCAGGCGATGGCTTTCAATGGAAGAAGGTTTAAAAAAAGGAAACTGAGAAAGTTAAGTCTTTGCCTAGGCGTTGAGTTGCGGGCGATGGCTTTCAATGGAAGACTCAGAAAGTAGTTAAGTTCTTGCCCAGGCGTTTTTTGGTAGTTGCGAGCAATGGCTTTCAATGGAAGAAGATTAAAAAAAGAGGTACTGAGATAGTTAAGTTTTTGCCTAAGTTTTTTTTGGTAGTCAACACGCAGAGCGGCAGAGCTTGTGTGCGAACATTGCAGCGGCAATCGAATGTTTGGGATTGAAATGAGTCAGCAGTTTTTTTTGTCAAATGATGGTGGTTTCTACAGGTTTCCAAAACCGATTAAAAACTACAATACCCATTTTAAAGCAAGTTAAACCTACTAAAAACTACAGTACCCGTTTTAAAGCAAGTGCTGCCTGGTGAAGTGATGCCTGGCATCTGTTCCAAAAGTCATTCTAAAACCAGGAAGGGGTGCAAGTCGGAAAGATATTTTGTGCTATGAAAGGGTCATTTTAAAGTAAACGAATTCCATTCTAAAGCGGCTGTGCTTGTGAACCAGAAATAGTTGCTACAAAACAAATGCACCACTTCACGCCCAAAATTCAAACATGGATATACATACAGCATGACTTAAATGTAGCAAGCATGACTTAAATTCAAGCCGAACATAGTCGCTCGAAGTCTGGAAGTTCGAATCTCCGATTCGGGCCCCGGATTCGGGGCCTGGATTCGGAGCCTAATCTCCTTAAAATACACTTGGCTGGTATGCCTAAGAGACATGATTTAAACTTAAGTTGAGTGTAGTCGCTCCAAGTTCCAACCTCTGATTCAGGCCCCGGATTCGGGCCCCGGATTCGGGCCCCGGATTCGGGCCCCGGATTCGGGGCCCGGATGGGGAGCCCAATCTCCATGAAATGGGTATATCGTATATGCAGCCTTGCAAACTATGCCTTAGAAATGTAGCAAGCATCGGTTAAATTCAAGTTGAGTGTAGTCGCCTGATGTTCGAAGATTCGGGCCCCGGATTCGGGGCCCGGATGGGGAGCCCAATCTCCATGAAATGGGTATATGGTAAGTGCAGCCTTGCAAACTATGCCTTAGAGATGTAACAAGCATGGTTCAAATTCAAGTTGAGTGTAGTCGCCTGATGTTCGAAGATTCGGGCCCCGGATTCGGGGCCCGGATGGGGAGCCCAATCTCCATGAAATGGGTATATGGTAAGTGCAGCCTTGCAAACTATGCCTTAGAGATGTAACAAGCATGGTTCAAATTCAAGTTGAGCGTAGTCGCCTGATGTTCGAAGATGCCCGGATGGGGAGCCCAATCTCCATGAAATGGGTATATTGTACGTGCAGCCTTGCAAACTATGCCTCAGAGATGTAACAAGCATGGTTCAAATTCAAGTTGAGTGTAGTCGCCTGATGTTCGAAGATTCGGGCCCCGGATTCGGGGCCCGGATTCGGGGCCTGGATGGGGAGCCCAATCTCCATGACATGGGTAACCTTGCAAAGTATGCCTTAGAAATGTAACAAACATGGTTTAAATTCAAGTTGAGTGTAGTCGCCCGATTTGTTCGAAGCTTTGGTTCGGGGCCCGGATTCGGGGCCCGATTCGGAGCCCAAGCTCCACGAAACAAATGCAGGTATATACTGCTAAGATCAATTGGTATGCACAGCGTTGAACAATGCCTGTCAGGGATGTAGCAAGCAAGACATGCAAGCTCTGCGCATTTACTCGAAGTTCGAGCCTCCAATTCGGGCCCCTGTCTTGTCATTTTTCTTGGGTTCTCGACATTCTGCAGGCTAGAGATAGCAGGATCGCGTGCTTCTCGACAGAGCTCGGTTGCCTAGAATTTCCAGAAGTGTCATGTTGCGTCATCAGTCATGCGTGGTCACCGACTCTTCTGATTATCTGACCTTGGAACATGTGGGAATGCCTCCGCCGCATCCTTTGCCACTTTTCCATTTCAAACAAGGATTTTGCGCAGTCAGCTAAGATGAACACGGACCAGTAGAACCTCCCTTACTAGGGCTACATCTCCAGGAATCACGCCAAGTTAGTACTTGCGTGTTTTTCATGGATGACTCATTGTTTGAATCACTGCCGCGTCCAACCATTGATGGCCATGGACAAGCAGGTATATAGTAAAGGTTCTCAGGCTCAGAGCTTCAGCATGTCCACCTGCCGCCAGAGCAAGACATCGAAGAGCGATGCTGCGGGCCGGAGCAAGTCAAAGAGATCATCAGAGCAGGTTGTTGCGGACACACCCGTGAAGAAGGATGATGAGCAGAAAAAAAGCTGCCCACAAAAAGCAACTTGGAGTTTTCAACCCAAACCCGCAAGAGTCCTTAGCCATGCTCTGGCCCAGCCATACGGGATGCCATATTGACGAACTGAATAATGTTGGGTATGAGGCATTTCATATTGCATACACTCTATATTCCAAAACATCTGTCAAAGTTTTGCGGTCCGCAATGCGGCCTCAGGTATGAGAGCCGAAGAAAAAATCTTAGATATCGTTTGAGTGCTGAAGACTTCCAAAAGATCCAGGGCTATGATGATCTGCAGAAGCAGCTGGATGAGGCGAAGGCGCTGTTGGCCCAATGTCAGGACCCGCAAGGATTGGTGAAGAGTTTGCAGGAATCCGCTGAGCGCATACGGCTTCTCGAAAAAGAGAATGTGGACTTGTCTCGGATTTTGACAAACTATGTCTCGAACCCTGCTATGCTTCCTTGCAGAGCTGCAGATGCCTCAATCAAAAGGGAGGTTCTAGTCAAGAGGGAGGTTCCATGATAGACTGTGCAGGGCGTCCAGGAGGTGTTCATTTGGGGTGTCCTGCATCATTTTCGGCAAGTCAGGACAGGGGCCGTACACCAGTGACCTTGGACAACAGAGCTTCCGAAGACCTGTTAGGGGTGGAAAAAAAGATATGCCTTCCATTGCCTTCCATTACACTAACTTGGTCGAAGCAATCAGAATAACTGCAACATGCGTTTGTTGGGCTGGTTCATGAGATCTTGAATTCTTTGCAGTCACGGCTGCGCATTTCTTCTTTGATTTTTTGCTGGTTGTCTGTAATGCAATTTCCTTGGCAGCACATCCAGGTTGGTGAGCCTTCCGTGACTATGGGATGGAAAACCTGTGACAAGAAGGTGCTGACCTTCTGGTTTCCATGGTATTCTGTGGCCTGAAGCCTCTTAAGTATGATGAGACTCACTGTAGAACATTGTATATATTGTTCCAAATATTTGCCTGAACGGACCCCTTTTTTGCCAGCTGTATCTGATACAGCTGGTTGAAAGCCCCACTTGTAGAGCCATGTTGGGCCATGTTGAGGCCTATATTGGCAGGATGATGCCTCTACGGACCCCTTTTTTGCCAGCTGTATCTGATACAGCTGGTTGAAAGCCCCACTTGTAGAGCCAACTTGGGCCATGTTGAGGCCTATATTGGCAGGATGATGCCTCTACGGACCCCTTTTTTGCCAGCTGTATCTGATACAGCTGGTTGAAAGCCCCACTTGTAGAGCCAACTTAGGCCATGTTGAGGCCTAAATTGGTCTTGGGCTCATCTTGGGTCCATGTTGGGCCCATGTTGGACGTTTGGAGGCCTTTGTTGGAGACAACCGTCGCTTGGGTCGGGAAAACAGTTACTTGAAGTATTCGACTTTGGTTGTACAATCGCTTGTGTTTTAGCTTCATCCCATGATATTCTCATGCATGTTGGTAGTGAGGCTGCGTTTGCAGTTTGCTCTGGTTTTTCCGCACCTGCCAGGTGACAGTTGTTATAGATTTTGTTAGAGTAGTCCGCTTCCCGCCTCTTTTTCTCCTTCTCCTTGCTTCTTCGCCAGCTCTCAATCACAGTGGGCGCACCGGCGGACCTCAACCACGAGCTTCGGATCACGTGGGCACCAGCGGGCCTCCACCGCGACCCCGACCGCCAGTGGGCAGTGCTGGGCCTCCACTGCCAAACACGTTGCCAGAATGTATCTAAGATAAAATGTCAGAACATATGCCACATCAAAGGCCAAAATATATGTCAGATCCCACACCCGAAAAACAATGCCACAATACATGCCAGGTAAAAGGCCAGGTA